ACTCGATGGAGGCCAATGGAGTCTAGATTCTAGTAGATCCGCCCTCCAGGATAAAAGCAATTGGTTGCAAATGGATTTATAAGAGGAAAAAGGGCCCCGATGGCAGGATTGAGACCTACAAAGCTCGTTTAGTGGCAAAAGAGTATACTCAGAAAAAAGGCATCGACTATGAGGAAGCCTTTTTGCCTGTGGCCATGCTTAAATCCATTAAGATCCTGCTAGCTGTAGTAGCATACCATGACTACAAGATTTGGCAAATGGATGTCAAAACCGTGTTCCTGAATGGAGATCTTAGTGAAGATATCTATATGCAACAGCCGCAATGCTTCAATGCTGCTGGTCAGGAACACATGGTATGTAAACCTAATAGATCCATATATGGACTTAAGCAGGCTTCTAGGAGTTGGAACATCCGCTTTGACTCTGCCGTCAAATCATTTGACTTTTAGCAGAATCCAGATGAGCCCCGTGTTTATAGGAAGTTCAGTGGGGATAAGGTCACATTTTTTGTGTTATATGTGGACGATATCCTACTCATTGGGAATTATGTAGGAATGTTGACTTCGGTCAAGGTATGGCTTTCGCAACAGTTCTCCATGAAAGATCTTGGACATGCTTCTTTATATACAAGGTCTTCGACTCTATAGAGATAGATCGAAGCGGAAAATTGGATTATCCCATGCTGTTTACATTGACAAAATTGTCAAAAGGTACATGGAGAACTCCAAGAAAGGAAACGTTCCTTTCAGGCACAGAGTCACTCTCTCCAAGATGTCTCCTAAGACTTCTGAGGAGATTGAGGTCATGAAAGACGTTCCCTATGCCTCAGTTATATGGAGCATCATGTATACCATGTTGTGCACTCACCCTAACATTGCTCAGGTGGTGAGTGTTGTAAGCAGGTTCCAGGCCAACCTAGGGCAGAAGCATTGGACAGCTGTGAAGAACATACTTAAATACCTTCGAAGGACAAAAGAGTTTTGTCTGGTATTCGATGGTAGTTCACTGCAAATTCTGGGGTATACTGATGCCGATTTCCAGTCGGATCCAGATGATAGAAAGTCTACATCTGGGTATGTTTTCATGATAGGATCGTGTGTTGTTTGCTGGAAAAGCAGCAAACAGGGGTCCACGACAGACTCCATAACCGAAGCCGAGAGCATTGCCGCAAGTGAAGCTGCCAAGGAAGTTGTGTGGATGAAGAAGTTTGTTCACGAATTAGGAATGGTTCCGTCCAGCACATCACCCATCCCGTTGTTGTGTGACAACAATGGTGTCATCGCCCAGGCTAAGGAGCCTCGGGCCCACTCAAAGTCAAAGCACATCGAGAGGAAGTACCATGTACTACGGGAGATCGTTGGTAGAGGGGACGTCCTGATTCAGAAGGTAGCATTAGCGGATAATGTGGCAGACCCATTAAATAAGACACTCACACAGAAGGTGTTTGAGAAACACGTGGAGAGTATGGGACTCCGGCTAGTACCAGATTGGACCTAAGTGCAAGTGGAGCTATTGGACAGTTTTTGCATGCCCTTAGCTTTAATCAATTTTGATGTACTTTTAATATTTAATGTAAATAAATGAAGTACATGTTTGATTCATGTTCAGTGGTATGCTTCTGTATAAGACCCGAAAACTGGACACTTAATGAGGCTTGTGTTGGTTTTGAATGTTCACAGCTGTCGGATAAGTTTGGGGAGATTTATCTTGCCAAGGATGACACTGGTGTACTGCCAACTGTTGGGGTGGTTTGTCTCAGCTGCCAGGGTGAAACCCAAGGCACATGCAGTGTAGGATTAATTGAACCCTTGAACCGGACCAGATTTCCAGTGTTGCCCTAGACCTTGGAGATAGATGGGCAAAACTAGAAAGTTACACCCGACCCCTAGACTCGATTATGGTATTGCACTAGGTGTCAGATTAGGTTGTCTTTGATATTTCAATCAGTGAGATCCTTAGCTATGGTCAAAACCTAGGTATGTTGGGACAGTCTGAGAATTCATCTGAGTGGGTGATCATAGTGACGGGATCAGCCCCTTTGTCGGACAAAGGTAATGATCGGGAATGCACTCTCTTTGATGGAAACCAAACTTTCGGCAGTTGATTTCAATCGTTGGAATTTTGTTTTGCAAAATTTATATATGATATATATTTAAGTATGGTTTCAAAACGTTTGTAAATGGTTTTAATTCCTGGGATCCATGTGAGTAGAGAGTGCAGCACTGTTCCTTGCAGCTGAGGGAGAGGTCCTCTCTTGTCGTGCAGTGCTTGATCATTAAGGGCTGAGAGGTTAAGTGTAAGGCCATTTGGGATAATACCTGATGGGCTAATCTTGCACCTGTCCACAGTCCCTGGGTTTTTATAAGATGACTTGCCCCAAGGACCACTTAGTGTAAGTGTTGGGCTCATAGGGTCCATATGATGGGCCCAGGGGTTCACTGGGCTTTTCAGTGAATTCGTCTAGGCCTTGTAATAAAGGCTGGGCCGAACCCATGTGGTTGGTGTGTAGATCAATGCTTGGGTTCCACGCCATACAAATAAGCCTAACTGGGCAAAAGATTGGAAACTAATTGAGCACTGATTACTTAATGAGCCAAAAGCCCATTTCGAACTGGGCTGATATGATCACCCACTTATGGGGCGGATCTGAGAATAGGGTTAGCTGATAGAATGGGGTTTTTAACCCTATCCACTCTTAGAGACCAGATTCAAATATGGTAACCTCCTGATAAGATCAGGAGTGGGCTAACCTAATCTACAAATAGGATTAAGATTATCCTCATCCAAATACAGATTTGGATTGGGATAACTCCTAATAGGATTAGGGGATTCTTAATCAACAAGAAAGGAGGAAACCCAATCAAGAATTGTTAGAATTCGAACCTAGGGTTTTCAGGATTATTAGGGAACTCCTCCAGCCGCCGCCACCTGCTGCATAGTTCGATCTTCACTAAGAAAGGAATCAAGAAACCAGTTCTTGATATCAGTTTTTGCTGAAAAACTGATCGAGTTCGGTGCTCATTGTTTCCAGAGGATTCTTCTGAAGAATTCGATGTGTAGGACGCACTCTGCTGGTTCCGTTCCACAATTGTTGTGTCATCTTCAGCAGGAGCGGATCTTGGTGTCTTCTCTGGGCGTGAACACTAACTTTGGGAGATATTATTTCTCTGGATCAGGTATAATCCCTCCCTTGTCTTTTGGTTCAGATCTGGTTCGGTTATGATTCAAGTAGGATCCTTGAATTTTGATTCTAAAATCAGGGAATATGATTCCCAGTTGGAAGAAAGTGGGAAAATTTTGAAATTTGCCCTACCCTATTCCGCAATCTTTGGCGTCCATACGATGGATCCCACCATTCTTTCACTCATCATAACTCAGGAAAATTCACAATAAAAGAAAGCTACAAACCAAATTTACGAGATGTGGATACTCAGATTGATCCAAACCTGTTCTTCTGTCTTAAAAAACTATGGAAATTGGAAACAACACCTCGTTTTCAATTCGTTTTCTGGAGAGTGTTAAATAATTTCATCCCTGTTAAAGATAAACTTTTTCATGATGATCAACTTAAATAATTTCATCCCTCTTAATATATCTCGTTCAGTAGATCTCATTATTTTTATTGATGCAGGTAAAATCTCATATTCTCTTTACTCCTATGGTATTGTATTTATCTCCAATAACTTATCCTGTATTCGAATAATTGGAGGAAGAACAAATGATATATCATCTGTTTTGCAAGATGAATTATTTGCTGTTTTGCAGGCATTATCAGATATTTCGCAATGGGATGTAAATGAAGTATGTATATATTCGGATGCTCAACAAGTTATAGAAGCTCTGAATCAGAAGAGTACTCTTGACTGGTCCTGCCATTGGTTTTTGTCGAAGATCAGTTCTTTAGTTTCTGAAATATAACTACTCAGCCCACAAGGTATCCCATCTAGCTAACCACTATCGTACTTCATTTTTTTGTCTAAACTATCAGGAAGGGATACCTAAAGTGGAAGACCTTGTATCTTTTTGTTTTGTTTAATTATAAGGAATCCTTCAAAAAAAAATATTCTAGTGGTTTTTATTTAGTTTCATTGGCTTTATTTGTTGACATGTATTTACCTCTTTAGATTCTAGTGATTTTGATAGGTAAGAAATTTTATTGTTACTAGCTTGCATTACTTTTTGCTTCTTTGTATTCTTTTTTTGTAGAGTGAACACTTGCCTTTTGAAGAGGTTTCATCATAAAAAGTGTATGTTAATAAATATAAGTTAATTCTTGGATTCCAAATGCTTCACCACAAAATAAGAGGATGTTTTACTCTCACCACTACTCCAAATAGGCTTGAAATTCTATTTATTAAATAAAAACATTCTTTAAATGCTTCACTTAAAACCATTTATTTTCTCTCCCCATTTTTACAACCATCACAAATATTGTTTGAATTCAGGAGAGAAATAAATGGACTGAAGGAAAAGATGCAATATAGTAGAAATTTCCGTGCTGGTTTAGAGATTCATTGTAAAACACTCGGTATAATCCTTGAAGCCAGTCTTCTAAACAAGGCTATGTGCTCTTGGATATAATACATCTTGGATGCTCTACAAACTGGTCCAACTTGGTAGACATGTTATAGAACCACACAGAAAGTTGGGTATTTCCAAGCCCAAACTTGTTCTCTGATCAAAACAAAGTGAGAACATTAGGGAACATTACTTATGCAACAGTAAAATCTTAGGCAAGCGTGAGAAGATTCCAATATGAGAATCCACATCGTGCAAAAATTCCATATATTAGATCCATGTCCAGCCCACCCCTCCCTAGAGACCCCTGGGCCCTGGCAGTTAGGACCACCATGGGTAAAGGTCTTTTATTGCATTCGTTGAAGGCTTGAAGCAATAACCATTAAAAGGAATATGATACAATGTCTTTATAGTATTCCCTAATTTCAGAAAATGCACTGAGGGACATGATACACTATCCTCATCGATCCTTTCTGAAGCAATGAATATTATCTCTTAAAAGTAATTTCTAATTATCTCCATTTTTGTTAGGGGTTGGATAACAAACTTTTCCACATCACAATGCTAACAGCTTCTACATTGTTCTCAGAATCCCTCAAAAGAATTTCATACAAAAAAAAAAAAAAAGAGGATGCTCTACTAATTCCATTACGTCACTAAACATCTCTTCCATTACAAAAGACAACTGCAGGGGTTGATTAATAAATATCCATATTAATATCCTTGTCATTTCTACTGCTTGACCATAGCTTGATGGTGCGATCATGTGCAACAGTTGCAATGTATTGTCCTTCTGCCACATAAAAAAAAAAACATAAAAAAGGAAAATAGACTCGGCTAAACTTATAGCCACATTATCCATATTCAGGGTATTCATAAAAAGTAAAACACAGGTGCAGGAGCAAGATGCAACATAAGCAGTATTATCAATGCAATGAGGCAATGAGTAGTTTTGGCTTCTGTGGTCAATGTGATGACTAGTTGTAGGGGAGAGCAAAAAAACCGAAAAAACAGTTAACCGAACTGGTTGGTTTGGTTTCGGTTCAGTGTATTAAAAAAAAAAACCAAAGGTACCAGTTCAGTTTTGGTTAACCAATATAGAAAACCGCCAGTTAACCGAACCAACCGTCACACATATACTTCTATATATTTATGTATATTATATATATTTTATATATTATAAATTAATAAATATACATTATATATAAATATATATTTATAATATATGATATATTATTTATTATTTAAATATAATTTTGTATATTTATTTATAAAATTTTATTATATATTTATATATTTTTATAATATATATTATAAAAAATAAAAAACCGAAAAACCAACGAACCAAACCGACGGTTAACTGAACCGATTAACCAAACTGGTCAACCGGTTAACCGATTGGCATCGGTTCGGTTTCAGTTACCAGTTTTCCAAAAACCGGTAGTACCGGTTTGGTTCGGTTAACCAAACCGTGAGCACCCCTAACTAGTTGGTGCCTAACCACTTGTCAACGAAAAAGATACATATTGAATTTTAAGATATCATAAATAAATCAACATAGATTACAACCATGCAATAAAAAGAACGATATTTTTTGATAATTGAACAAAAATAAACAATAAAAAGAATGATATTGACATTTAGTTTAAGTCTTGGTTGCGTCAAAAAAAAAGTTGGCAATATAGGCTAGGATGGGGAACAGCCTTTGTTTCACAAAGAAAGATTGCAATCTTGATCATTCAATGTGCCCATCGTTTATCGCGACTTCATACCAGAACCTCACTAATTGGAAAAAAAAAAAAAAGCTTAGAATTCCTCCAGTGTCTTCTTTTGTTTTATGCCTTTTTTATTTTATATAACATCAGCTAATCATGTTCTATCACTAATATTTAAAACAAAAACATCAAGATAGTAAAATACAAACATATTCTATATTATTTCAAGATACAAACTAACAAGTTTAAAAGTTTGTGGTTTGATCCTCAAATGAATGGTTGGCCAACTGGTTTATAACTAGTTAATGAAGGGTTTTTGAGCATGAGAAGATGAGAGAACAGAAAAGAGAGATTAGAGAATGAGAGGCAGTATGAACTTCTGTCCAGACCTAATTGCAATTCAAAAGTGTTTAAAAAACAGGAAAGTACAAGATTGCCTCTCATTAGGCAGGCTGTATATAATAGATTGAAATAAAATGGCAGATGCCCATTTAGCCCAATAAGAAACAAAGAAATCTGTCATACGGACAGATTTTGGGGTTTTACCAACAGAAATCCGTCAGTAAAAGTCCATTCTTTTGTAGGACCAGCAGGGTGTTCATGGGAAGTAACAAGAGTAGTAGGAACAGACTCACACTCCTTGGAAATGGCATTGACTAAATTAATACTCGTATTCTGATTTCTTCTGAAACATGCATGGTCTGCCAACTAAATCCCAGAACGCCTCCTTGATATGTCTCACCCTCTGGCAATGTCTACACCACAATTTATCTTTGTCTACCCCTTCTGGTTTCTTACTCCCATCCACCTTACCTCCTCAGCTATTCCCCTTGGCAACTAGGGCAGTTTGATCCCCCAGCATAGGATTTATGGCTGACTTCCTACTTTCTACTGATTGAATTAGAGAATACACCTCCTTTATGATCAGCAGCTCCTTGTACCCCAAAATCCGAACAAAATAGGCACATAAGAAGGATGGAGTCCAAGGAAGAAAGTAAAAACTCTCTGCTTATAAAGATGAGCCCTGTAAGTTTTAGCATCTTTGTCACTCTCACAATCAGTTTGCTGAGAATTATCTAATTCCTTCCACAGAGGTCAAATCAGAGTAATAAGCAGAAAGACTCCTTTCACCCTGTTAGCAAGCAGTGGATTCAATCACCAACTAATAAACTGAAGCATAGCTCCCAGGTATCCTTAGTGTCATGCCCACCTAAAGATTTTTTTCTCAAGGAGGGCCAAATTTGGACAGGAATCAAGATATTATCATATATTTCTCTTGAACCCATTTTGCATGCACTGGACCCTTCTCCTTGCTCAACAATATACCCATCTAAATAACTTAGCTTTCCTCTCCCTCCAATGAATAGTTTTACTTCTTTGGACCACTCCAAATAGTTCAAACCATCAAGGGGAGTAATAGAAATGGGAAATTAACACTCTTGACACTTGAGCAAAACATAGGAGAGATAGAATTAATACTAGAGGCTGTTGAATCTTCTGTATGGTTACAGACATCTATATATTGCAGATTGCTCCATTACCACTAAAGTAACCACAAAGCAACCACATACACATGCATGCAGTAACACTCCCACTAGCTCGCAGAACAGAAAAATAGATACCAACGACAGTGATCTAGTGGGAAGAACTGTTTTCAGTCCAAAAATTCAACCCAGAAAAAGATACCATACCCCTTTTTTGAAGATAGATCAAAAGAATATACTAAAGATACGAGACCAATACAACACAATAGGTGATAAGAAATCACCAAATAAAAAAAGGAAAGATACAAAGAGCAAGAAAAAGAAATACATCAAGATGGTTCACCCAATTCCAAACAAGACCAAAAACCAGCCTCAAAATGACTAGAAATTACTGAAAACTCCAACAGAATTAAGATCCAATCCAATATTCTTCTTTCAATGAGAGAGCAAAGTTCCTCAGATTTTCCCTTGCCTTCAAAGAATCCTCTGTTTCCTGTACAAACTTTCCAGCAAACAGCACAAGGTACCTGAGAGAACTGGCCATCAAGCAAAGATATCCTTCGGGATTTTGAGAATTCCCCTAACAAGACCGAAAATGTTGGAGAAGAAGCCTCAAACAAAAGAAGCAAAGCTGCATAGGACTAGAAGATGAAGCACATCTTCCTCAGCTTCACCACATAAATAGCATCTATTAGACATAAGGAATCCTCTTTTTTTAATTGATCATGAATCAAAATGATTTCCAAAGCTGTCAAGCAATCAAAAGCTTCAACATTTGGAGGAACCAGATTCCCCCAAACTCCTTTTAAATTAGAATTTTCAACTTTGATTTCTGACTAAAGCTTTGCAATTAGACTTAATTATGAACAAACCATTTCTGCATTCTTTCCACCATCTTGAATCAGCTCTATCAGTCTCTAGTTCCACCATTTGAAGCCTGGACAAAAGTCTTAAACATTCATCCACTTCCCAATCCAACAAAGGTCTTTTAAAAGTTGGGCACCAAAGCACTCTTCCTTGATTCAATTGAAAGTATTGAGCTACCGAAACGTTCTTCTTATTTGAATATACAGTCTTGGACAAGCATCACGAAGTCTTCCAATCCCCAACCAATGGTCATCCAAAAATTTTATTCTAGGACCATCCCCCACTTTAAAAGAAACGTGATCAAGAGAGGAAAAGTTCATAATTCCTTTCCAAACACTAACTCCATATGCTGACCAAACCTTCATTGAATCCCACCTGAAACCCACAACCCCATACCTTACACCAATTCACCCCTAAAGGAACAATGCCCATCTCTTTTTCCTCTGTCAAACTGTAGTGGTGAACCTATTTCTTATTTCTTGGCTCATTCCAACTCAAGGTATAGATTTAAGTGGAACCTGTGATTTACATGAGGTTTTCGTGAGTCAGAAATAAGTAATGTTTTGCCTCTGCTCAAATTCTTAAGAGGGTGGTCTTAAATCCATTAAAAAGGGTTAGTTGGATCTGGACTCTTTCTTCCTCAGGTTCTTTCACTTGTGCATCTTTCTTTAAATTCTTAACACAGCTGGGTAATAGCCTTGGATTATCTTTTATTATTAAAGAGGTGTGGAGTAAACCTATTCCACCTAGGATAGGATGTTTCTGCTGGGAAGTGTTTCTCAAAAAAAATTAACACTTGTGACTTACACCAGAAAAAGAGACCCAATTGGTCACTATCCCCCCACTGGTGTTCTCTTTGTAAATCTGAGGGTGAGTCCTACCATCACTTATTAATCTCCTGCCCTTCTCTTCCTCAATCCTCAATTTGGAAATGGTTTCTCTCTTTGTTTGGGCATTGATGGAATCCCCCACTGAATATACAAAATCTGTTTGCTTAAATTTGTTAGATGGCCAAAGAAGAGGGGGAGATTTCTCTGGAGGTGTACAAGGGCAGCTGCGTGTTGAACGTTTTGAGAAGCAGGGGAGCCTTAATTGAAATTACTCATAACTATTTGAGGACTTTCATGTTGGTGACTTAAAGTGATTTGAAATTGCTTGTTCTTCTCCAATTAAGGTTTGAAATTGCTGTAAATGAGAACCTATCAAATCTTCTCTACCAAAAAATTTATTAAGTACTTCAGTCACCGATACAAATAGCAACGGAAAAATGACATCCCCTTGTCTTAATCCTCTAGATGGTTTTCACCAGAACTAAAAATGAGTCTGTCAAGAAACAAGCAAACATCGCTTCTCCACTTCTCACCAAAACCCGTTCTTCCCAATACCTCCTCTAGAAAGCCCCACTCTACATGATCATAAGCCTTCTCCATATCATTCCTACACACCAACCCAGTAGACCGCTTTTAATTATTGAATCCATACATTCACTTGCTATCAACACCCCATCAAGAATTTGTCTACCTTCCATGAATGCCATTTAAGATGAACCAACAATATTCTGCGTAGGTCCCTTCAATCTTCTAGACAAAACCTCTACAATAATTTTATATGGGCTCAAAATCAGACTAGTCGAGCAAAAGTCTTTCATTCTCATAGTGTCATCTTTCTTGGGAATTAAGGAGATGAATGTAGCATTTGCACTCTCCAGAAGTAGTTATCATTCCACA